TACGCCCCCCACTTATGGAAAACATTTTAATTTCTTCACAAAATTGAATTAGAAAAAATAAGCATAAGGAAAGAAAGGCAAATGACTACGTGAAAAATCAAATTCTCATGCGATGCTCTTTGAATACTTAAAAACTTATTAGATTGTTGCCATTTCAAAATTCCTTTGAATCTTTAGGATAGTTCGAAGAACTGGTGAAACCTTCGTTTTAATCGTGAGAAAAGCGGACGAGAACAAAATTGCATTTCGGATTGGCAGATTTTTTCGATCAAAAATTGGAAAACAAATATGGTTTGACATCACAACCTAGATAATCCCTTGCCCCTTTCATCACAAAGCGTCATGAACTATGGACACTCCCCCCCCCCNCCCCCCCCCCGCGGTCAAGACATTATATTTGAATTTTAAACGTAATTAATTTTAAAGTAATTAGGAAAAGAGCTTTCGACATATTTTCCACCATACCACTTTGTCGATATGGAGTTATATATTCTCCTATAATATTGTTACGGAATCGAATGGTTTAATTTATCCTTTTCCCCTCTTTTGTAAAATAAAAGATTGATGATTGTTATTCTAATGTTGAGAGATAACTTCAGGATCGATTTACTCTTTTTTTTTATCTTGGATTCTGAAGAACAGTCAATAAATACGCCTCTACCATTTATCTCGAGTTATTACTTTAATAAATATAACAATATTGATAAGATTCCGCATTGGTTTAAACGGAAGTTGTAGACCTGAAAACGTAAGTATCTCGGAAACTGCAATCGACAAAGTGGGCCCTTATAATGTGAATGTCCACAAATGCATCATTTTTTTTGTAGATAAACTCTACTGAAAAGGATTAATTTACCATAAAAATGAACATGATTCGTGACTACAGGGTTATCTTTTTTCTCCGATTCAGCGAGCCTAGCGATAGAATGGCCAATTCCACGATAACTTGGGGTGCTCGGACAGGATGTTGTCACAGGATAAGATTTCGTAACAATAACACTTGGGGTATCAACTTTGTTGCCAGCAACGAAGTTCTGTATAGTTATATTACGATTCCCAGTCTCTGCAATTGAAAATTCACCATTACCATCTCCACAATCAATTATGCGCCTCATCTCCATGCTCATCAATATTCAGTTGCGATCAAGAGAAAAATTGGAGAAATAATATAACAACGTTCATTAATTTGTTATAGATGCGACGTTTCGCTAAATATTTTAGTTTCTTGGGGCTCGTCACATAGTCAACGTTGTCGTTGCAATATTAACTAAAGGGGTCATGTGGAAGACATAACTTGCAATTGAGCATCACAAAGAGTAAAACAACTCTCACTCCGGTGACAAACCTCGCATCTATTATAAATTAAGGATAATAATAAGGATAATTAAAGGTTGAAAAAAAAGCAGCCATTTTTTTCTATTTTTTTACGTATTCTCTAAATGATGGAAAATGCGTGTGGAAAGTTTCAGACTGCTGGGAAGCATGGCTAATTTATTATGAATTTTTGAAAAAGTGGTCATTTCACCCGTGATTTTATGGAAATCACAAAAAAAACTGCAAAACCCAAGGAAAAAATGCAGCCAAAGTCATGAAACTTTAGACACATTTAGAACATGTGATCAATGATTTTTTGAGTGAAAAAGATTGTCGCCTAGGAGCATTGTTTATTAATAATAGCGAAAAAAGTACTGAGAAATGAAATTTCTGCACACGCAGCCCAAACGAGTAGCAACGTCCCAGTACCGATCAGGTGGGGGTACCGCGGTCAATTTAAACGTCTCTTGAGAGGGAGCAATGAAGCGTTGTGATCGGGGCTCCCTTGAGCCAGTGGTACCAGCTCCAGGTGAAAAAAAAAACTACCGACGAAGTTGCCACTTTTTCGCATGAATTAATATTTTTTCATTTATTAAAAAAAACAATCTGAAAACCATTCAATGCGTGGAACAGATAAAAATAAATTTGATTAGCTCCAAAAATAATTTTTAATCGCAGATACTCCCTAATATTGCCTGAATTTTGAATCCGAATGGGAAAAATTTTTTTGTTCAGCGATTGGTTTTCTGAAGGAAAACAATAGAAACCCCTCCACTTCATCTCCTACATATCCTCCTCGCCCGATTATCCTTAACGAACATTGTTATATTATTTCTCCAATTTATCCCTTGATCCCAATTGAACATCTCCACAACATTCAAAAGAGGCTCATAAATGTTGAAAATTCTCTTGAATGCCAAACTCACCAGAAATAGGTATATGGAATCCAGGTATAAACATCCTCTGGTGTTGCGTGGTTGTTCCAAGATACTGTGAACCCTGCTGTTGTTTAGAAACGGCCACCAAATCATTATCGAGTAATGTAAGAGTGATCGGGGGTTGAAAGGGAACGGCCGATGGTTGGGCACGATGGACGGTTGAAGATTGCATTGGCTGCTGCTTCAACAGTGCCATCATCGGTTTCGTTCCAATCTGTTAGTATTATTACCATTTTTTTCTGTCTTCTCTCTTTGTTATTCTAATTACGATTATGAATCCTCAGTGTAGTGATCAAACGTCGTCAATGGAATTGAACATTGTGAATTTAACGACTTCATTGAAAAATGTCAATTGTTTTGTTACAGCTGAAGAAATTTTTGCGAAACATTATCCGACATTTCGTCCTAAAATCACCCCTTATGGTCCAATTTGATTTTTAAAAATATGTGGAAAAGAAACGTTTTTACGTTTCATCACTCACTGCTTTGATGTGTTCGCACATGCTCGAGAACTTTCAGATGATTTTCTTAAAGCAGTATATCCAAACTCCACGTGAAAAATAAATTTTAGATGACCGAAAAAAAAATTATTCATCATTGATAATTTCTCACATGAATTCTAACTTTGACGAGAGTAAGAAATTAATGTACCAAATTCTCTCTACCATTATTTTCTTTAACAATAGTTGCTCATTTGACTGAGGTATGCTGTACATTCGAGGTGCCCAGAAACATTAATTATTTATCAGAAAAGTTTGACACCGACGATAATTTTCATATTAGAGATGGAATTTTTATTTACTTCTTTCTAATTTTTTGCAATTTTTCCTCCATTTTAATTTTTTTTCTGATTTCAGAAAATTAATTTTCTCATAAGTCTCTGTTATTTTTCCACTTTTAAATGAATTATTATCAATAATACTAGGCTGCCAATTGAGCACGGACTCAACCAGAATGTTTTTATGCATATCACCATCCGTTTAGAATATATTTCAGATTTTTGTCTTCAAAATTGAAGTTATGCTACTTTGAAGGGCTAGTTAGTTGATTCACCATTTATTGAATAAATTAATCAAGAGAATGAATTAACCTCTCGAGCCAGGCGGAAAAATATAGAACTTGACAAATTTGACTTTGATTATTCCTACTTTATATTAGTAGTGAAGTAAACCGGTACAAGTCGATTTTGACTATTGCCCAGTTTTCAATGAATAGCTCAAAATCTAAGGGAAATAGCAAAATGTTTGTCATAACCTTTTTTGTAGAGCAAATTGAGAGCTACAAAAAAGCATACTACAACAATTTCGCTATCTCCCTTGGATTCCGAGATATTTATTGAAAACTGGCCAATAGTCAAAATCGGCTTATACCAGTTTACCACTTCGCTACTGATATCATTTTTGGCGTATTGGAAGTTGGTGAATCGCATTGCCGTTTAGTGCACGGTGAGGTTAGTGCCAAAAGGGCACCTTGAGAGATTAACCCCTCATCATCATAAAATAATGAAATTAATGAAATTCCATTTCTTACTCACCGAATGTAAGACAGATGCAGCTGCAAATTTAGGTACACTCCTCCCATTTTCAGTGTGTATATTAGCAACAAGATTATTGACACAGTACTGTGTGCTATATTGCTGATCTCCCTTAACTGGCTCTGGTTTAACGACTTTAGGTGATATTGGCATAGTTATGAATGCACCTCCCTTCGGTTGAAAACCCGAAACACCAGTAGGATTAACGGGACTGTGATAAGGATAAGTGGAGAGCACTGAGACAGTACCGCCCTTATCAATGGATGCATGATGATACTTGGTGGTCGTTTCGATACCTGTCGACGGGAGCGAGGCTGTAGGCACATAGTGGATAATTTCTTTTACATGCAGAAATAGTTTTAAAAAAAGGAAAAGCAAAAACGCTAAGCTCTGGAGCTTTGTAAAAGTTTCCTCTCTGCGGTGAAACATTTGCTCGACAATTTTATGACAATTGTTTCCAACTTTCTTTACCTTTAATTGGCTTGGGCCGACATGTAACCTCAGCTTTAACTCCCTGGACGTCTCTTTTACCACCGTCGACAGGTGAAAATCTCCCTCCAAAGTTCTTCTCATCTCTCTCTTTGTCCTGTCCATCATTATCACTCTCTGGTGGTTTATCCTTGACTTTTGCCTCGCCGTCTGGCTGTGGATCCTCGCATATCACCATTTGTTGTTCATCATCAGAGCCATTGCCGTCTTCCTCCTGTTTAACGGAGGACTCAGAGGTATCCATTAGTTGTTGAGGCTCGGGAAGTCGATGAGACGAATGTGCTTGATTCACAGTCTTTAAATGTGAAGAAAACGCAATAATCAGATGATTAATACAGACATTTAGACATTCCAATCTAAAATTACAGCGAAGAATTGCACAAAAAAAACTATTTATGTTATCGCTTCACGGATTTTTTTCCACCGAAAAAATGTTCCCCACAAAAGTTCCTATATCCCCAAGAAAAAAAAACATGTGAAATTTCCCTGGAAAATATGAAATTAGACACATATTCGAACACAACATCAATTCATCTTTATTTAATGGAATAACCATTACTTTCTTGAAGTCGACAATTTCTGAACTTCATGAATAATTTATTACTAAAGGAATTCAATCAGCATTTTCTGAAGAAAAACTCCAAACAAAATCCCACATGAAAAAAATTCGTCAGAAAAATTACTCTCAATGGGAACAATTCGCAGAGAGAAAGGACTGATGGGGAAAAAATTTACGGGAATGTTTCAACGGGAAAAAAACTCAGGCAACCTATGATAACTACCTCTGTACTTGGTGTATCACTGTAGACTGCAGTTACTGGTACATAAATGTCATCAGACGCACGAGGCGTCAACGGTATCTCCTCACTGGGTGGTCCCATATCCATCTCCTCTCCCGTACTATTTAGTTTTCCCCTTGGTTCATTGCCTTTGAAACTTGTTGTCGATGATTTCCTTCGATCTTTACTGCACCACTTCCAGTCTGGATGTGCTTTGAAATGTGCTTCTTTAACTTCAGAGGCCAAATCATGATATTTCTGTTTCTCCTCACCCCCCAATGCGTACCACCATTCACCTAGGATCTTTGACACTGTACGATTGTCTTGGTTCGGATGCCTCTGGTGTACAACTGCTCGGTGGCGTTTTGAGAATATCATGAAGGCGTTCATTGGTCGGCGGATACGGTCTTTCGTCTGTAAAACAGGAGGTTTTTTTTCAGTTCGCTACGTGGTAGCAAACGATAGTATTAGCAATTGAATCGTTAGTTAATTTTTTAATAAAATAAAACGGATGTAACGAATTAGTTGGGTTTACTAAATTTTCGCGTTCGAACATTATTCCAAGTTTTTGCATGCAATCTTCTTTTGAAATTTTTTTTTCTTAACAGAGAAGATAAATATTTTTTTGAGACTATTTGGCAAGTACTTCAACAGTTTCAATGGTTTAGATTAATAGGGGAATTTTGAGAATTCATCTCTTCAGAAGATGTCTGTAAAATCATATTCAAACCCACGTTGGACTTCTTTCATCATTATTTATTATTTCCCCAGGGTAAGTAGAAACAACAAATAAATAGAACCAGCCAAAAGGTAGACGTTTTGAACTGTTTTTTTTAAGTATTCTGTAAATAATGTAATAGGGGTTGTACTGCTAATTCCACTTTTCAATTAAAAGATTAGTGTATCGTACTACGGTGAACCTTTTCATTTTTAACTTTTAAAGTATTTATCACTCGATCCAGTCGTCTATCTATTTGGTGCTTGGGCTACATCCCACTCATTGGGCATTTCATAATTTATTCCGTCATTGTTTCCACTTCAAATCAGGTTTTCTCATACTTTACATATTTTATTAGGTATAGAACCTATTGCTGGCTCTTTAGGTGATTTATCGGTTTTTGATCTCTGAACAAATCTCGAATTCCCCTTAATTGGCTATTTATTGGTCTATTTACTCTACTCATTGTTGTGTTTTTATCATTCCAGCTGTAAGCTACGTCCGTTATGGCCAAAAATGTTGTCCGTCACGCGGTTGAAAAAACTTTTTTCTAGCTCATGACTGCAGCTATTCATCATATTCGTCAGAATAGTTTTTTTCGGCTTAATGACAAAATGTACTATTTTGTAACACCCGCGTGAAAAGCTCACTTTTAGTAAAATTCAGAGGTTGTGCGCAACAGTATATTTCGATACGAGTGCGTAAAAGTGTTTTTAGACTCTTGGGATTATATCACTCGCCTTCGGCTCGTGCTATAAACCTCCCACGAGCCCAAAAACACTTTCCCGCAATCGTATCCAAATATACTATTTTCTTAAGATTGTCCCCATGTTTTTTATAGATAATGGTTATAATATGAGTTTTGAGGCTTTCGCGGCCAATATTATTATTCATTATGATGGCTTCCGGATGGATGCCGCGTCTACCGGACGCCATCATAATGAATAAATGGTTATAATATTTCCCAGCTCTTGAAACAAATGCTCACTACACAGTTTAATAGTACATTAGAGTACAAGGGCACAAATTTCGTTTTCAACGAATGTGTAGTTTACAGGCCGAGCCGAAGGCGAGGTCTGTACACACATTCGTTGAAACTGCGCGAAGCGCAGCGTGCGATAAACTCGACTTATTGCACGGCGCGACATAAAAGATAATAATGAAATGCGGGCTTCTAACCCCCCCGAACTAGATTTTTCTATCTTATAAGAAAACGATTCTTACGATTTAAGAAAAATTGCAAGCGGCTGTATCTTCGATACAGCTGTAATTGTACGTGGATACGTCCATGGTCTTTCTTTTTTTCTCGAATTTCCGAGAAACTCCTTGCATTCCCTCGAATTTTCTAGAAACCCCCTGAATTTCCTCGAAATTTCTAGAAACTCCTTGAATTTTTTCGAAATTTCAAGAAACTTCTCGAATTACCTCGGAATATCTAGAATTTTCTAGAATTCCGATAGATGGCACTGCACATAAGGACCGTTTCCCAAAATGACCCCCCTTATTGAAACCATAGACGTATCCACGTCAAAAAAAAACTAATTCGTGATGGATTGATAAATTCCGAATACCATGATTTTTTTGTAAAATTTTGTACTACATAGATTCTGCAATATTGAACTCTAAAAATTGGGAATTTCATGAAAGCATTTCTTATTTGATTCAAACAGTTATTGTTGCCTGCATCAATAACACATGAGAGTATAAGAACTCAATAACTTATGAGACTGCAATAAATTAAGTTATTTAGAATTTTTCCCGGAAATCCATAGGGTCCAACTTTTGGCTCCGATTGTGTTGGGATATGCCCTAAACGATACATTTATGATAAATCAATACCTTCAACGGACTCTGTGGATCTTTGGTGTGCAATGAGCTCAGTGATTGACTTCGTCGTTTATTCGAATTAGCCTCGATCTCAGCAGGCGTGGTAGGTTCAGTCTCAAAAACATCATCGTCCTCCTCCTCAGCCGGTGTAATGGGATCCGGGCCAGGGCCAATCGGCTCATCACCAGGATTCCCCATGCTCAATGGTATCGGTGGTGCACTCAGCGGTGGACTCAGCGCTGACGGTGGTGGACTCACTTCGGGCTGATCTAGTACTGTCGTCTGCCAGGAAAAAGCTGCAATGAAATTAATTTTTTGGGTTAGTTGAGATGGATGTGGTTAGTAGCGTGTGGCAATGAGAGAGGGAGGAGAGACAGGGGGAAGAGGAAACTCGGCAGTACTCTCTGATAATCATTGGAGAGATGAAGATAGAAGTACAGAAGAGAAGAGACTTCACACTTCCTGGAGAATTTGATGGTGTTAGTGCATGGTTAATAGAGATATTTTCTGTAACTAATGAGAATAGAAAGGATCAAAATGCACCAAAAAAAAATTTCTTGATTCCAGTATTTGTTTTATTTGATTCAAGTAAAAAGTACGATTTGATCCATCCGATTTTCCGATTCATTTTGTGTATCAAGGGATTATTCTATGAAAATAGAATGGACACTTCAATTTTTTTTTCAATCTTCATAACTCAGAAAAGAATTCATCAATTGAGTCCAGTCTAGGCTCATCTCAAAGGTGATGAATTTTATTTTCCATGGAAATAATTCAATTCAAGAAACTATAGCATTTCAAAAAGAATTAAGTATGCATTCTACTCGATTTATTTTTGTACTAGATTGAAGTCGAGCTCTAATTCAATTAAGTTACCAATTTGATTTGACATTTTCTTTGAGATACTCGATCCAAGATGATGATTCAATCCTACTCAGAGTAGAGACTCCAGATTAAATCGAGAAATGTTTTTTTGGGTGTTCGAATCACTTCGTATTTGTGAATTCTCCATTATCCAATTTTCCCATTCATTTTAATTACAGAATTGAGCGATGAGAAACAATATGTGAGAAGTATTATAATTTATATTGCATATGGAATGAATCGATATTCTTATTCTATGATTAGTTATTCTTAGCCACCACCCATGACAATCCCATCAAATTTCAATCATATCTACAAACGAATAATTAAACCAAGATAAACATGGACAAGAGGGGTCAAGCGAGGATGTCAACTGGAAGACTGGTGCACATAATATGACGAGGGGAATTCACGTGGAGTAGTGAGAGAAAGAAGATCATGAATGCAGTTATAACCGTATACCACCATCATAATAAAGCCTGCAACAAGCACCAGTATGGATATTCTCATTTTCTATTATACATCGGATTCAAACCTTTTTTCCAGTTGCGCATTGAATTGTTGAGCAATGGCGGGGGATGGGGCTGGTATAGAGGTGGAACATCGTGGCTGCCATCTGTGAAATCCTTACCATTTAGTCATAAAAACTTATTGACGATAAGCGGTGCTTCCATTACGCGATAAATCGACTCAACAATTGAATTCTATTTTATCAAGATGTTTTAATGCAGGAGAATTACTACATGGGTCAAGATCTAGCTGAGAGGTGGATTACCATCTCAATCGCAGACGCAAAAATAATATGATTGTAATTTTATCACGAATGGAATCAGTCTAATCAACTGAATGATGTTGTCGTTTAATAAATGAACCGATAAAACATGAAAATATACTCACAGACAACTCCATTGGTCTTTCCACTGTCCTCCCTCGATTGTAATCCTCCCTTTGGTGCTTGAGCCAAATGGCTCGGTTGAACGATAACATGCTGGAAGACGCTAGTTGGTGTTAAAGTGTTTGTTACTGCCGTTGCAGTGGACATTACAACGCTCGTTGAGAGTGGCTGCTGCTGTTGGTGCTGCTGCTGCTGTTGTTGTTGTTGTTGTTGTTGTTGCAGTGATGAATTTCTCTGCACTTCCGGATGAGATGATATGTGAAGCCCAATTTTAGTAGCCTGAAGATAAAAAGACATGAAAATTAAGTAGAAAATTACTGTGGCGTAATTCATAATTTGAATTTAATTAAGTTTAACTTTTTCATGTTCCAGGAATATTCTGTAGTTTTTCAGACTGATGAGGGAGCACGTGAAAGCAATCTTTCCGATAATTAAGAAAACTAGTTGCAGTAGCTTTGATGAAATAGAATAAACAAATTTTTTCTTATGGACGGACTTTTATGGAATTCATTTTTTAATTGATAATTCACTCACTGGAAGTCTCCAAAACGAAAAAACAAAATAGAGGGAAATGTGGAAAAATATACTGAATGCAAAGAACATGCTTCCCACGAGTGTCAAACTGACAAAAAAAATCGTATTTTGAGATTTCAAAGATCTTAAATTGAGATTTGCAAGTCTTAAATTGAGGCTTTTGAATGTCTCAAGTTGAGACTTTCGAAAGTCTCAATTTGAGATCGTACGTCTCAAATTGAAATTTATTTTTTTCAGTGTTGCACAATTCGTAATTTGAATTTAATTAACCCTCTAATGTGAAAGGCGTAGTAAAGTATAGTAGCACCATTTATGATAATTAAGAAAAACCACTTGCAGTAGCTTTGTTGAAATAAAATGAACAAATTTTTTCTTATGTACGGTCTCTTATGGGATTCATTTTCAAGGGATAATTCACTTACAGGAAGTGTCCAAAAAAAAAAACTCGAAATACAGGGAAGTGTGGAAAAATATACTGAATCCAATGGCCATAAAAAATCTGGGACGCCCAGGCAAATGCAGATTAAAACTTCAAGTCCTATACAAACTCATACTAACTGCTGCATTCGATGCATATTGTCCATTTAATTTCTGAATATAATGAACTCGGGTTGGTGCATTCAAGTTTTTATCAATACGAAAGAGATAAATAACTGAATAATAAATAAATTCTGTCTATCCTTGAAAAAAAAAATTGTTTAACCGTTTGTGTTTCTGAATCACCATTCTTAAATTTTCTTCTTTCACTGCAGCATTCAACGTTTGATTCTATTTTTGCCATAATTTACGACCGTTACGAGATAGAATCACTATGGAGGAAGAAAGCTTCCCCCCCCCGGAATTTATTAAAAATTCAAAAACTGGTTTCATTTAAAAAACAAGCTAGACCTTATCTGATTACATGAGTTACGTTACCTGTGGTATTATCGTCATCTTCTCAACATGCCCAACACTAACACTGGCCTGCGCCTGCGGTTGACACGCATTTCCTGCAAGTGTTTGCATCTGCCCGAGATGATTCAACATTCCTTGTCTGTACTTATCCTCCTGACTGCCAACAAGCCCAGATGATGGCACTTCATTCCCATTTTTAATCACTAAATATTTTTTATCAAGCTGAGGCACCTGAGATATTTGTTGCTGCGATTGCGTGGGTGCAACCGCTTGTGGCTGTGGCTGTATATGCGTTTGCATAACGTAGATTGGTTGGCCCTGGTGTTGTGCATAGTCAACCGGTAATTCTTGGGTCTTGAGGCTCAAATTTTGGGGAGGCGGGGCAGACAGCGGGATATGCGGGGAATGGGGTGGCTTCAAAAGTTGGGGATTTTGTTCGGGTATATCGGGATGAGTTGCAAAACCATTGTTCGAGGTGAGTGCATGCTGGAGGATAATTCCCTGTTGTTGTTGGGCCTGCTGTTGAGCCATGGATGTTACGACTGAGGGATGTCGCGGTGGCGGACTCTGTTCAGACCAGGATAGTGTTAAATTTTGCGTTGGCATGCTCCTTCCAACTGGCGATATACGTATGACACTTGTCCCAATGCTGGCTGGGGCTGGCGCAGGTGCTGGCGCTGGCGCTGTTGGTGCTGGTCTATTTGGCCTTACCATACGATTTGGCTCGGGTTTTATCACTTGCTGTTGATATTGCACAGCAAAATGTGACTGGGTTGGTGAATGCTTCCACTTTGCACCCGGTGATATGAGGGAGGCTGCGTGGTGGGCTGCTGGACTCGATATTGGCATGAAAACATTATTTTGGTTTAATCCAAGGGGCGGCACTGGGGATTGACTGATGCAGGGTGAAATTGAAGAGTGGGCGGTTGGTGACGAGTAGGCTGGTGTTGCCGAGCGCGAGCTACCCAGGGATACCAGCATATTTGCTGCCTCTGTTTCCTCCTGATCGAATCGCCCTGTCATACGTCGATCACCGTAGTTCGGTGATGTATCGGAATCACGAGATGTTTCTTCGCCACCACCGTGGGATGTGCTTGTTGGGCCTCGTAGCTCTGAACCCTTCAATGAGAGATGACGCGAACAATAGCCACGCCTTTGACTCTCCTTCGAGCAGCCCTTTTTACTGCACAATCTTCGCCATTGTTTGCCATTAAATTTTTTCCTAATTCCGTTTGGCGTTACCACTACATCACCCTTTTTGTATTTGTGTGGCGTCGCCGCCTGAGATCTGTGGAGGCAAGATCTCGATTAATAATTAACAAATTGTTAATTTGAATTTTATGGGATAATAATGGATAATTTTTGAAACATTAAGATAAATATTGTGGAAACAGTTTTGACGTAATGTTTTCCAGTAAATTAATATCAAGATTCACCCAGCCCCCCTCCCCCCCAGCTACACCAAAATCCTATCCAACAATATCCTGTGACGTCACAAGACGTGAAAAGCTATATAAAGTCTCGTCTTTAGTCAAGTTTTCAAGTACTTTTATCACAACTCAAGTATTCAAGTATTCAAGCGTTCTTTTTTACTCGATTCAAGTATTTCTTACTCATTGACTCAAGTAGGATGGCTATGATTCGATCGATCCAAGTTTCCGATTTATAATGTGAAGAAAAGAATGTTGTTTTATGAAAACTTCGGAACGGCGCATCGGTTTCAAACGAACAAAAAAAGAAAATTTTTGTTTCTCTTCGTGTTTTAAGATAAAAAAATCGCAAAAACCCTGACAAAGGTCCAAGATCGATTTTTCGAAGAATTTTTACGTTTTTATCTTTTTTTACTCTAAATCTAAATTCTAAATTTTTCCCCATCGCAACAGCCCGGAAATATTTCTTTCCGGGCTGTTGCGATGGGCTTTTTCACTCGTGTGATTGGCCAGTCCTCGCCTTCGGCTCGGACGCCAACGCCACACGAGTAAAAAACCCCATCGCAACAGCCCTGGAAAAAGATTTTTTTGTAGTGATTTTCAAGTTTCTGAGTTTGGGAGGTATGCAATACCAATTCCCAGCCGAGGAATCGTCAGAAGCAGTATAGAAAAATACTGTTTCTGATAGAAGACGTCCATATAAAAAAATAAAAATACGCCATCACGGAACAGAGAAACAGTGCGCCAAAAATTTTATTTTTCCGAAATTTTCGTGTTTCCCTGTTTTCTCAGAGAGCTGCATTGTTTTTACCAAAAAATGAATGTGCCAATCGATATTTTTGTCCATATATGATGAAAAAATACGCCAGCATGGAAGAGAGAAATAGTATCGGAAAAAAAAATTTTCATCGAAACTTTCTCATGCGTTCGGATGGGTCCATGAATGGAGTAATTATCTCCTTATGCCACTCAACAGCTGAATTATTGTTCTGTACCTGGGTGTGGCCGCCTGTGAACGTGGAGTTATACTACGCTGTTCCATCAAACTACTGTTGCTCCCTCGACTCTGTATACTGCTTCGTTTACTGCTCCCTGATAATTTTGCATCTGTCAGTTAAATACATCCTTACACTGCCTGATAAATAACTCAGGCTAATGGAGGTAACAAAAAAGAGTGAACGACGATAATAAAGCGATTCGTGAATTAAAGTATCGTCTAACCTGCATCAGAGGGAAATGTAATGTCTTCCCTATCGAGATCGTCGTCACTCTCTAGATCATCATAAGGTCGATTCCCATTGCTCAGCGTTGTGTTTGCAGAGTGTCCGGGTGTACCTAGTGTCATGAGGGGACTCGTACCTGTTGTACGATAATAACCGACGGAGTCATTGTGGGAGGGCATGTGGGGCGTATGAAGTGGATGAATGGATCCGGCAACCGGTACTTCAACAGAATTTCTGAATCCATGATCTAAACCGCCGAGACAAAACATGGTAGACACTCCAGGAATAAATTATTGTACAAAGTGAAATAAATAAAAAGTTTGAATTAACTCACCAACAGGATCAATCCTCATAGGTTCAGACTCCCCAAGTCCTTCTTCAAGTTCATCCCACCAGGGTGGCCTGAACAGCCTTAAATCCGCCCTTTTAACCACAAAACTCTCACACTGTTCATCATCACGTTGAAATTTAACAACAAAACGATGAGGTCCAGTCAATATGTTGCACACACTCCCCTTAACAAATACATTAGTCATAGTATCTAAACCACTATTTGTTGGACATCTAATGCACACTGTTGCGTCCAATTTAACTTGGCCAATTGATGGGCTAGCATCAGCAATAATATCGTATTTACCAGCACCAAGTACATCGGTATATCTCACTAATTTACCTTCACCATCAAATTCAATATAAACCTCACCATGGCCAGCGTTTCTAATAACACCAGGATAATAACGTGTGTCCCTTAAAGCTAATACGCGGTGGTTCTGCCACTCGCTGAGATCAATCGTAATTGTTGAGGGCCTTGGACGTTGACGTGGTGGCTCATCACGCAGTGAATAGTCGACCGCTGTACTCTGAGGTGGTGGCTGAACAACGACACTCTGCACTAGAGGATAGCACTCTGTTACCATTGTTTTATTCTGCTGATGATTTGGCGATAGATGTGGTGAGTGCTGCTGCTGCTGTTGCTGCTGCTGATGCTGGTGCGGCTGCTGTGTCATTGCCAATGGTGGGTGTAACTGATGGCTTCCAGATGATGACTGTACTTGTGGCAGTGTCTGACGTAAATTCATCATACTGCCAAAATTACTGACGACGTTACACACTTTGTCCATGTCCTCGAGTTCGGACGGATCGAATTTTCTTTTCTTTGGAATTTTTTTAGCGCTCATCGTGGGATCTGAGGGATCACGCTGCGGCGGTGGCGGGGGCGGCTGTGGCTGATCTGTTTTCTCATCCATCGTTGCACCACCACCACCGCCAACACTTACGTACTGAACCCCCCCAAGGCCGTCACGCTTCTCGTGCATCTCGGGGTGTGCCGTCAGCATCGTTGCCACCTCACGCTGCTCTGCAAAGAAAATTCAAAGGAATTAATTTAAAAATTAATTTAATTAGCTTTTTGAAGAAATTAATTGAATTAATTGATTCAAAGGAATTCAGGGAAGACTCTGTCATTGTCGTCAGTCAGGTGAATTCAGTTTTGGAAGAATATTAACCCTTGAGGGGTCGCATCGTGAGGGAATCCACGCTAAACCAAACGCAAATAGGGTGTCATTATAGAGCGAGTGAGATGATAGAAAAGCACGACCTCTTAAGGGTTAAGGGTGGACGAAGTCATTTTTTCTTAATCCAGTGCAGCGACTTTTGGAGTAATGTACTTTTTTTTAATGACAGTAGGAATTACTTTCTTAGCTTTCAATTTTAAAATTTTAAAAAACTATACCAAAAATTTCAAAGATAGTATTGCATATTTCATATTTTTTTATGACAGCAAAAATTATGTTACTGTCTTGCAATTTTTTACAGTTTTAATTAGTTAAAAATGAATTACACAGGGAAGAGTCGAGCAATATGGCCAGACACTTGACTTTTTTAAAGCGTTAAAAATTAATTGAACTGTTGATGAAACGGGATAATTTTTTTCCTTATGAAGTGTAATTCGTGCTCTTTGTGATGAGTTCAGACTGAACTAAATTGCTGAATTCATTTTTGAGTTATGAACATCTCAGAAAATGTCAAGTGCGCATTTTGCCCCACCCTCCCTTACATATGTAAAACCTATTGTTTATATATATATATATAGTATGTATAATATAATACAGACTACACATTTATTGGTCGAACACCAGATTCATCATGGAAACTCTCATTTTGTTCCTATCCATTGTCAATCGATTAGAAACATATAGTTTTTGCTTACGACAAATTTCCATGGCCACAGTCATAGGATTATTGCCATGGGTCATCACGACCGAGCGCCATGGATTTGCCAAAAGGTTATCGTGGCTCATGTCTCATGAAATAATAGTTTTATAGAAAAAAATACAGTATTATCTGGCACGCATAGTAAATGATAAGCACGCGTAGCGCGTGGCCAGTTCTGGGGAAAAAACAAGTGGGGCCACAACGTCTCGATTTCATAAGGAGCGAATGTTCTTGCAAATTTTTTATAAATTTTTTTGTGAAATGAATTTCATTTGAATCAAAACTTCTACTAGTTTTTTGCTTTGCATAAATAACTTCTGAATGTTTTGGATTTTCAAGGAGATGAAAACACCTAATGAAGGATTGAATATTAGAAAAAAAAATTAATTTTCAGGGGACAGTTGACCAGTAATTTTCAGGAGAATGATATTGAATTCGATTTAAGGGGAATAATGTCATGAAATTTGAGATTTTTTAGTAGCAGGAAGACTAGAATTCTCTAATTTCCTTGAATTTCCAATGAAAACATGAATATTCAGTACCAAATTACACTAAATTTTCAATTAAGGATATCCAAGTACTTTGGCTATATTTTCTCCAGTGAAATGCTTTTCTACTTTTGTAGTCGAATATCAGAGTTTTCATTTGAACCCCATCAGACCCTACGTTTTCGGACATTTTACAATGCTTTTATTATTTAAACTTTGCAGGTTGTAATATAAATCTAGATATGGAACCGTTAGAAAACATTTAAAAAGCAATTTCAGCCACAACTTTTCAAGAATCATTATGATTGAATCATTAGTTAACCCAATACTAGCGAACGGGCGCTTCGCGCCCGTCGCTAGGTTGATTTATACTATATTATCTTATTTTATTTTTTTCGCCTTTTCATTCAATTTTAATTCGATTCATTTTTATTCTGAATATATATCTTTTCGGCAACTGTAAAACTGCACCTTTTACAGCCCTACCGACGAATAACCCCATCAAATATCAGTTCGAATAATGAAAGAATACCCATCATTTCAATTTCTATCCTTGTCGTTTGATAGAATGATGAATATAATGAACGGCATTGAATAGCAAAAATCATGGACTGAAGACTGAAAATTCTTAAAAAGAGATCGAAAAACTTGTTTTTCTTCATTTATGTCGGTGGGAACTTGGAATTACTGTTTTTCTTCAAATATAAGAAGCACATGAATATTTTCAAGTTTTATGATCTCATTGTAACGAGAAGAAATGAAAAAAAGCAAAATAACGTGGACGTTAGGAAATAAATAATGTAATTCTTCAATGTCTCCGGGAAGTTTTAAAATCGATATATTTTTTCGAACAATGAACGAATACCCATGAATTCGATTTCTATCCTTGTCTTTCAATAGAAAAAATCGAATAAATTCCAAAAATTGAGAATTGAAAAGTAAAAATTTTATGCGGTTATTATTACGCAATAATTACTTACAGTCCATACAGTCGCGAGGAGGCTGGAGACCGGTATTCGGCGATTTGATGGTGGTTTGACACCGGCTGGGTGCATACCTCAGCACCCGGCTGTCGGGAACGGGATGCGTAGAGTCTGGACTCTCGCTTCTCACGTTAATTTTAATCGTTTTAACAACAATACCCTTGGCAACTCCCAACTCCAAGTCTTCTCGCCAGTTCCAGCTGCCAAGCATCCTCCTCCAACGTTTCTACACGCGGTCCAAGGACCACTCGGCTCTCTTATTTACTCCACTTTTCGATTGAAAACTCTGCGAACAAAGGGATGAATGAATGAAGAATTTCCCTACGAATCTGTAATTAATTCTACCAATAGAATATGCAGAAATTAAACGTGAATATAATTTCGCGCTGTAACAACGTGCTCGGTAATTGGAATGTAAGGAGTAATAAAAAAACTAATGAATGGTGTGAAAAAAAAAATGTAAAGAAAAAAAAATTTTTTTCCGCAGGTTTTTGCACCTGTAGAATTGGTCTGGTACATTTACACGAGTTCCACAAAGATATCTCGCACATACACTCATGTAGCATGATCGCGGGCATCACTAGCCGGTTAAATGAGTGTGCGTTAAACTCACATTTGTAAATTATATCCATGCGCACCCACACAATTAGAAATACTCAAGCGATAAAATTTCCGAAACAAGGTATCAGATTATATCGAAAACTTTAAAAACTCATCGCTGTTGCTTCCGAAAAATTCCTAAAGCAATTTTAACACTATCGGTCGCAAAATCAACCCTCTCATGACATTTGTCAATCGACCCACTGATGATCAGCGAGTGCGGAGGGGAAAACTTGAAGACACGAGTTCGACGGGTCAATTAGAGCTGAGCGGGGGTAACGTCAATGATCGAAAGCTCAGTAGGATCAATAAATGTAATCGAAGCCGAGTGATATATAGATCCTCGATGCTACAGTCCCGGAGCAAGTGCCGTGGCTTGAGCAAGGATCGACGCCGGCGGTCGAACGAATGATCGGCGCAACAGTCACGCCGAGGTAGCACATATACGTTTGAAAAAAGGAGCAAAAGAATGGGCTACCAACACATGCGTAATCGACACCCATGTACATATTTATATCTACTTGATACAAGTTACACACAAAATAGAATCAAACGAGATGAGACGAGTGCACACCGGGGGGGGGGGGGGAAGCAAGAATACGAGGGTGAAATAGATGAAGAAATGGGAAGAGAACTCGGTACAATGATCAGAGCCACACCGGCTGAGAAGTGGCGAACACGTGTTTTTTTTCAACCCTCTCCGTCCTCTCGCAATCGCACCAAGTGTATCCGCAATTCGTGACACTACTTCAACTTAAAACTTCAAATTCAACATTAATTCTAGCACGAGATGCATAACAGTCCATTACCCCGTTGAAATCCCCACTATTTGTTTCACATTTCTTCCACCAATCTTTAACTAACTCATTGAACTCATTGATGATTGCGATACTTGCATCACAATAATTCGCCTTGACTTGTAAATTTATTTTTAATTAGCTCCAGTCAAGATGAAGCTCTCAGGACCAAAGCTGAACTGACACTGAGGGCAACAGAGGAGACATTGGCCCCTCGCGGCTCAGGGGGGGAGGGGGGAGGGCGGGAAAACAACAATGAAGTGAGAAAAAAAATAAATGAGGATGGGGAAGGGAAGCCACCACCTTTGGGCAAACGAGCAACCTCCACTCGATTCTACCAACAAGTCTCAGCGTCGTCGTCGTCTCTTTCACTGTGAGTCAGCTCAGGCAGCAACGGCCTCGGGTATATACTGTGACGCTTGCATTCCTCTCTCTCTTACTCGTTTTCAAGCTACAACCAGTGTCGGTTTGTTCATACCAAGGGGCCTCAAGCTGTCTTCGCGCCCACTACCACCGGCACTAACTCGCCGTCTCACTCTCTCGGGCTCACAATCTCATTCTGTCTCAGTCACTCACTTACACTCTGTTCTCCTCTTCTTTTCGATCATTGTGCCTCATTCTTTCGCTCTTCTCTCTCGTTCACGTCCACTCGAACGAGAACCCCAGGTATATAAGACGTACTGTGGGGCTGAAATGATGGAGATGAGAAGAATGAAGAATTCAAAGTGGGCATTTTTTTATGCTCTTCTTCGGATTCAAATGATTTTCGTTTTTTTTGTTCAGGACTCTCGGGAATTTCAGGTATTTGTTTCGGAGTTGAAGAGCAATTTTGGCGGTCCGGGGTATTACTGGATAAGTTCTTTTTGGGATATTTATATTTATTTTTTGGGTGTTTTTTTTCAGCTCCTTTTCTATCGGATTTATTCATGCTTGGGTGGAGAATTTAGTCGTCGAACACTCGGGAAAGTGGAGGGCATTCGGTTGATTAGATGTGTCCGGCAATAGATATTTGGAAATGCGGTAATTTTTCCGGACGTTGCATCGTTGTGCCAGTGAGTTTCATACACTGTTAAAAATTTTCGCCTGCATTGTCCGTGCTAAATTCCGGAAAATTTTATCGTGTCCAAGTTCGACTGAAATTTCAGAAAATCTTGTCATTGAAAAATCAAATATTCCATTGATTTTCTTTTCAAATGATCTGGAAATCAATAGAATACTTGATTTTTCAGTTCAATTATTCTGTGAAAATTGAGAAAAATCAGGGAAATTCAGAAAAAAATTGAAAATTCATGTCATGTTGTTTCTGAATATTCATGCTACACTGAAGATTCATGCAAGTTGTGAAATTTCCATCTCACTACCACTGAAAACTCACGAATTTCCGTGAATTCTACTTGAAAATTGAAATTTCATAACCATATTTTCTCTAAATCCGATTCAATGTCACTCTCATGAGATTTACTATAATATCTTCCATGAAATTAAAAAAAATTTCTAACAGTGTAGCTTATGAACGCATTTGTTTTTTCTGGAATCACCTGAAGAATAACCACTAGACACGATTATGATGTGTGCTTGGATTGGAACTCTTGTTGTCTGCAAATAAAACGAAGGGATGTTGCTAACCGGGATTAAATTCGCCTCCTTTCCAGGGAATAATTTTTACGGATATCATCCCAGGCAAGAACGGTAAACATGCGGAAATTCAGCGGTAAATTGTCAGCTGGGTTCTGATTCAGTTCCGAGTTGAGGGGAGACCACGGTGAAATTTTGAAATTGTTGGACGTTGTATACTGTTGGAAAATTACTCTTGAAATTTCAAGTGAAAAAGCTTAAAATTTTTAGCAATGACAAAGTTACATGAAATTTCTGTATATTTCTTCATTAACGAATCAGTTAATTTTTTAAATCTTCATCCGTCTATACGGCACTGAAAAACACTGAAAACGTTAATAGTTTTTAATAATAATAGCTTCCATAGAATTTCAAAAAAATTCTAACAGTGTTTCAGTGAAAAATCGATGATTGTTTAACATAAAAAAAAAATTTTTTTTAATTTTCAAGATGAATGAGAAATGTGCGAACACTTTCATTTCAAATTGAATTCAAACGCACAATATCGAAAATTCAGGTGACGCTGTGACTGAAATTTCAAAGAAATTTCTAACAGTGTAGAGACGATTGTTATAGTTTATAATAAGTAGGAGTTATAGATAAAAAAAAGTATGGAAAAACCTAACTTCGAGATTTTTAAGGCTCGAAAAGGACCAAACGGGTCGAGATGGATCAATTTCAAATTCCCGTACTCGACCTATTCATTCAATTTCTATATCAGCCCAGGCTATTATTCGGCCACTTTAGACGTTTGTACGGTATAAATTACATAGAAAGAGGGATGTTGTATGCTATACATTCGCTACCAGAATATATTTACCGGAATTTTCTGGTTTCCTATTTTTTTTCAGGGAAAAATGGAACTTAAATTTACAGTTCTCTTGATTTTTCCACGAAATTCTGGCCCACGCTGAGCCATTCTTCATCTCTTATCAGAGTAAGAATGGAAAATATGAAGAGTTTGAAAGAATCGTTCATAAGAGAATGCGTTAAAACTCAGGATTCTCCGAGATGGAAGGCTATTTCCTGGAACGTAGAAATGCTCGATATATGATACTGGGTGGGGATACTCTTTTTTTCCTCCTCAGTGGAGACAATGGCGGGTGTGAATATCAGTGAGACCTGTCGTTTTGCTTCGCAACTGGTGAGCTGCATTTCACTCCTGGCTATTTTGCCCGCGAGTGTTGGCGGAAGTTCGCGGAAATCGCCCGGTTTCCAAGACTAAAAATTCCATGATATTTTGACTCACTATTACTGAGACTTTTATAACTTTTACATTTTTATAAAATTTTACTGCACACTTCAGGAGAAAGAACGATCTTTTAAAAAGATTCGTAATTAGTCGCATTCCCATAGTCATTTCAATTTTCTTAATTAAAAAATTCTCTTTATCCTAATACTTGAGCCGTCGAGAGATCATCATTAAAGAGTATTCACAAACTGGAAGTTTCTAACCGTCGGAAAAACCATGGCAAGTTGAAAAGAAAAAGTTTGGAATCCCAGGAAGAGTATCGTGTTAAGGAGAAAAGGAGAAAAGGTCAAAGGAAAAATGTAGAATAAAGAGAAGCAGAGTGATACCTATACCGCCGCACCTGCGGCTCAGTTCACGTCGAGTTCACCTTTTAACGGTCCTTAACAACTTGTAACCGATACCTGCGCCAGTACCAATAGCACCCCAAGACTTCCAAGGAATGAATAGAGAGGACCTCTCGACAAGGTGAAAAAGGACGGTTGCGCGAATATTTTATTGCACCCCTCCTTGTTCCGGCTTGAGAAGAGGGTCCAGAGACACCAAAAAAGGGGACTCTTAACTCTTGTGGGCCTCCTCTTGTGGGCGTTTGGGAGAATTCCCAAGAATTCGGTTGAAGAGAAGAATTATCTCAAATTGTTTGGCTCTCTTCTCCTCGAGAGATCCCTAAACATTGGTACACTGCAGTCTTATCGCAATTATTCAAATGAAACAAGTGATCGTTATGAAAATTGAAGCTCGATAAAAGTTCAAACTTTTAAGAACCGGACAACAAATAAGCGGAGAGACAAGTTGGATAAAAATTAACTAGGAAATTGTGGACAAAAGGTAATTGTAGACAAAAGGTAATACGAAAGGTAATTGTGAAGCGAAATGAAATTCAATGGAAAAATACCTGTTTGCGGAGGATATTTTACGATTCGTTCGGTACAAAATAAGTTGTCACATACGTACATACATTCAGACATGACCATAAAAATATCAATTTTTCACGTTTCATAATATTCTAGACCATTCGCAATCAAA